TTCCCATGACCCACGACCCCTGGGGGATTAAGGCGACAAACCTCTTCCCTTCAGGAACCAGAATACCCATTAGCTAAGACAAGGTATTCTGATCTTTATGAAGCCTTTCTTTACGGTGCAAAATCCTCTCTCGTGGTCTTAACAGATTCGTCAATTTCATATGGTCGTGCAGTTAAGGAGAATAGGGCGGCTGAAAATAGGGACTACCGATTCTTAAATTGTGCCGAGATAAACGTGTTAATGGGTGTAGGTAATGGGGTTTGGATGTGATGGGGTGCCTTAATGGTAGTATGTAGCGCTATACCAGTTTTGACATGAAGCACCAGTGTTGACATTAAGCACCAGTGTTGAGATTTGGGGAGTCGAGTTGTCGTGTGTCAAGTGAAAATTGTCTCCTCCCCCCCATCTCTTTATTCTCTTCCCTTCCCTCCCTATTCATATCCACCTCCTCCCCTTCCCTTCGTTTCATTCCTTTTTTTTTTGCACACTTTCCCCTTCTCACCTTTTTGCTTTCCCATAATCACCATCCTGTTCTCTCACTTCCCTTCTTCCATTTCTTCTCTCTTTCTTCTTTCCCCCCTTCCTCTTCCTGCTCTTCCCCTTTCCTTTTTTCTGCTTCCTTCCCCTCCCATTCCCAATCGCACCCTCTTCCCTTACTTCCCCTTTCCTTATATGCACCTCACCTACCTGCCTACTTTCCTTCTACAATTTTCTCTCCCTTTTCCCTCCTCCTCTTCCTCCCTCTCCCTTCCTTTCCCCTTCCTTCCCATTTCCTACTTACCCACCATACTCTTTTCTCTTGCACTTTTCTCTCCCCTTTCCTTTCTTCTCCCTTCCTTCTCCCTTTCCCTTCCTCCCCCTTCCTCTCCCCAGACAAATGAAGAGGGTGGTAGAGGCGTGAGCTTTACCGACGTCGGAAATAGAAGTCCTTACTGTGATAACCTTAGTAATTGGCGAGTGCCCATGGTGTGTGTGTGTGTGTGTGTGTGTGTGTGTGTGTGTGTGTGTGTGTGTGTTTAAGTGTACACACATACCCAGGGGTCTCTGAAACAATTCTAGATGATTTAAAATATAACTCAAATTAAGTACGTGTCCTAACTGAGGAATACATGCCCTCCCCTTCCTCCACCTCATTCCACCCCCTCACTCCACCCTTCAAAACACACTGCCGTAACACACCCCTCTCCTTTCTCCCACCCCCCACCCCTCTCACAGACTTCCCGTAACTCACTCACTAATCACTAGGTGTGTGGCACTACCCTCTCTTGTGTAACTACCCTCGGTGCCCAGTTAATGAAATCATGATAAATAGCTCTAATTACCTTCATACCTGACTAATTAGTTCCTGAGTTACTAAGTCAAATGGTTCTCAAGTCGTATACAGGTAATATATCAAATTTAATTACTATGACTGTTTTATGTGTTCAATTAATAGTATCAGTGACACATTTACACACAGTTATATACACATGCTTATACATAATTACATACACTCGCATATATCATTTGGTATTATACATAAACATATATACAGGAGTGCTTACATAAATATATATTACACGAAAAATCATATATGGTCATTCATACACAAATACATGTGTAACTATGTACACACACACACACACACACACACACACACACACACACACACATACACACATAGATACACGCACACACACAAATATATATCACTTTTAATTATACAACAAGGTATATGCGTACATTCAATTATAAACGCGATAATTGGTTATATTCATCAATATGGCCGCGAGATACAGCCAGCTTACGCGGCCTCCATACCTGGTCACCCCTCGCGGCCCCCTCAGTTTAGATACGAAACCGACAAACGAACCCATGAACCCGAACCAACGAACCAAGTCCCGAACTCAAACTCTGAATCCCTTGAACCCCAGTCATCGCGAACCCCAAATACCCAAACCTGAACTATTTGACCCGAACCTCCGAACTCCTATATGGAAAGTTTGTTTTATTTTAGATGTTTTGACTATAAAATTATATTACCAGTATTAATTATCTCCACTTAGCTTTGGTTATTATTGGGGAAGGTTAGGTTAGGTTAGGTTAGGTTAAGCATAGTTAAATTGTATTCGATGTCGGCAAATGACTAAACCAAATCACCATCAAAAAGTTTCCACCAGATTACAGTAGATTTGGGGTAAAGTGACTCACTACTGTAGGTACACCTGGTAAATGGCACAGCCTAACCGGGAAGTGCGTCGATCACCCGGGAGGCAAAGACGTATATGGCTGACTCGCCAATACAACGGCAGATACATTCAAGACCAGATACAGAAAACTGGGTGTAATCAGCGTGGCGAATATAGAAAATGGCTCGAGGCGAATATAAGAACAATTATTTTTTTATTATTTTGGGGGTTTATTTATCTAAAATTTATATAAAGAATAAATAAAATATAGTGAAATGAGTGTTGGGAATTTTTATTGATGTTTAATCATGAAAGTGTGATATTAACTGCATGTATAGAATAAATAAGACCCTTTGTCCCGTCTAAACCTATTTTTCTCTACCTACATAACCCATTGTCTCTTTATCCCATTTATACCTATATTTCTCTACAAAACTCATTAAAATAGTCATTATGGACAGAGCCGTCAGGTATAGAACTTGAATACCTGTGTGAAGGACAGAGTTGTCAGAGGGGTGTCGGCTTGTCTCCAGGTGATCTCAGGTACACGCCAGTAATTACAGGTGTTGTGGAGGGTGACGCTGAATGACGCTCATTTGTCTCCTGTTGGTGGTGATGGTCTCCTGCTGGTGGTGGCGGTAGGTCCTGTTACTGCCCCCGTCTCTTAGTCTTGGCCTCCTCCCGAGTCTCTTTTTCCTTGTCTTCTTCTTCTTCGTCTTCTTCTTCTTCTTCTTCTTCTTCTTCTTCTTCTTCTTCTTCTTCTTCTTCTTGTATTTCCTTATGTTCCTTCTCTTAATTTTCTTGGGTTTTCTATTTGTCTTCACGTTCCTTTTCTTCTTCACCTTTTATATTTTCCTATTCTCCTTCTTGTTCTTTTTTCTCCGCTTTCTTCTCTTCCTTCTGCATTCTCATCTTCATCTTAACTTCTGCGTTTAGTTTTATTACTGTCATAAATCCCAGTTTATGGATCATTATTTTTTTTTTTTTTTTTTTCCTGCAAAAGTCAACATTGTTAGTAACCTGACCATAACCACAAGTCTCAGTGTTTCAAGACAAGGACAAAATAAACGTAAATATGCAAATGAACTGTATTCGAAATGAGCAAAAGCTTACGAAAATATTAGCTCACATATCCACAGACACACAACAGCGGTTATTACACACAACAACACGACAATACATGATATAGTGAGGCAATCTTAACCTAATCCTTTGTACAGTAATATTAATAAACGAAGCATCAGGTAGTGGTAACTCGTTCGTCAGAAATACGTATAAAGGTAAGAACCAGGTTTATAACTTACTATATTACACCTAATTATAACGAACATATATTCTAAACCCGGGGGAGTTGTCGGCTGCTATACACAAACACCTCAGTAACATAATTCCACTCACTAAAATAATATGATCGTATTCCTCACACACACACACACAGGTCGCTGACATTTATGAAACTTTTATACTGAGCTAATGTGTTTAACTTTACCGCCATTTACCAGTTAACAGATATTACAATTGCAGTCCTAGAATCCCATTTATTCGCCAGCCTCTCCCGTTACGGCTGGTGTGTGTGGAGGAGAAGGAGGGGGATAGAGGCAACGGGATTCTTGATAGTGAACGCTGGGACCACTAGTACTGCTGCCGGCCATTACTGTATGTGTCCAGGTCCTGTCACCTTAACACTCCTCCACTGGGCTCCAAGACACATGAATCACTACCATCCTCAGAAATGTATTCATAGAAATTCCTTTACTATACATAAACCAAGCGGGATTTAGTATACATAATATCATACAGGCTATTGAAGAACACTAGATGAGGAGGAATGCCAACGTAATTATTGTAGGTCTTGTTATAGAACGTGTCTGAATTAACCCGCAGTTTTTGGTTCATTTTCTTTCTTACAGGCTGGGGTGGGGGGGATACTATACTAATTTTAATTGCTATCTGAGTTTACTAAAGAAATATATTTGATATCGCCTTTACCGTCTCAAGCAGTTTATTGGGGGGTCGACTCTCTCGCCTCAATACCACCTACGTCATCGTGTCTACCATTAGTGTTTTGTTACCATACTAGCTACCACACTACCACCAATACTAGTAAGACAAATATCCACCACCACTACTACTACGACTACTACTACTACTACTACTACTATCCACCCCCACCACTGCCACCACCACCCACCCAACTCCCTCCCTCAATCACCATCATCACCACTACTGTCAACCACCACCACAACATCGGTACTAACCTCCAGCCTCACCACACCTCATTTGGAGTCCAATTTCGTCTTGCTCTCTGTGTGTGTGTGTGTGTGTGTGTGTGTGTGTGTGTGTGTGTGTGTGTTAAAGGGTTCAGTGCTCGCTGGTTTATGAAATGCAGAAAATCTCAGTTTCGTATTTGTCTTATATAGTGCTACGAGAGAGAGAGAGAGAGAGATCAAAATGACTTTAGTTCCAATAATTTTGTCCAGTGAATAAAGTCCCAGAATTTTGAACGTGTAGTCTGAGTTGTTATTTCGTCAACAGGTCTCGGGCTTATATAAGTATTAATAGTACAGTTATAAGGTTATTGTATTGTTACTCATATTAACTTGATTTCACTTGTTCTGCTGTGCTAGTTATTGGTCAACAGCAGTCATGAGAGATTTATCATAATTACTTTTTATAGGAATAATAAAATTTAATTATGATTGATATTGCATTAAGAAATATATAACAACATTCTTATTTGTCATCTGTGTGATTATATTTAATTGGTTTGCCATGATGTAATTATTTTCTGATTAAATATTATGACACGTTGTTATTCTCCGGCAGTGTGGGTACACGGCACTACAACGAGCGGCGTGTGAGGGCCACATCGATATCGTCCGTCAACTTATTAAACACAATGCGAACGTCGACCATCAGGATGACCAGGTCAGTTGGGGCAAGATAATGTTATATAGACAGATTAGATTCGATAATATTTAAATGATAAAAGTTTATAGTTAATAGAATATTTTTTATTGTTTTTAAAGTTAGTTATTTTATTAATAGATGACTTATAGTATTATTTTATGTGGTTATCTTAGGCAGAGTATTTATTATATAGTGTATAAACTGAACAATCTGGTGAGGAAAAATAATTCTAATTCTCATAATTCTTAATTGTTGATGGACTGATGTAATTACTAAGCTTGTTAGACACTTACATCTAAGTTATTGGAGAACAGTAATAAGAAAATAACAGAGTTTTATCTCATAATTTTTTAATTGTTGGTGGACTAGTGTAATTCCCGACCTTGTTACGCGCTGAAAAACCTTACCTGTTGACGTGTAGTAATGAATGATGACGTCAGTGTTAGGAAACATGGTGTGTAAAATGATTTCTTTATGTTCACGTTATATCTTTCATTCCTCAAATAACTGTGTACAGAGTCTGAGTACAAATATTTGGGGTTGAATATTATGGCGAGCATTTATGTTTTACTGTTGCGAACATCATCATTTATGGCTCAAAATATGACGATTTTTGTTTTGTGAGGCGGAAAACACGACGGTGAACTTGTAAACTGGTGTTGGTAGTAAACAAGGTGGTTGTGAATATCTGTGGTTGATGGTGTGGTCGTGCAGGTGGTTCACAACGCTCGTAATGTGTGATTTAAAAGTGACAGGAGAATATAAACACCAGCAGCACCTTGGAAGGTTCTCAGGTACTGCAGGATAACGTACAAGGAAGTGAGGTAAATTTTTTTCGCTGCTGTTTTGAACTCAGGTGATAATTATTAATGGAGGGAGAGAGAGTGAGTCAGTATGTGTGAGTCTTCATTCATATGTGTTTACAATGTCATGGTAACTATGTAATCGTATGCATCATTTACATACGTATGTACTTTATGGTGTATGCATAACCACGCACATGTATCATCAGCACGGAAACACGGCACTACACGAGGCGGCGTGGAAGGGCTACAGTCAAACGGCAGAGGCGCTGGTGCGGGCTAAGGCCAACGTGTACATCAAAAACAAGGGAGGATTCGCCCCCCTTCACCTCGCCTGCCAGAATGGACACAATCAAACCTGCCGCGTCCTCCTACTGGCTGGATGCAAACCTGACATCAAGAACAACGTGAGTTTTTTTGTGTTATCAATTTGTTGGTGATAACAACCTGAACGGGTGTAGTTAGGAGTAATTAAGTCTTGTAGGTTAGGTCAGTGATAGACTCTGGTGTTCAAGTCAACGGTAGTTATGGACAGTTAGACCTTTTATCACATAGGTTGGCCACATTAACAACGGTGCCAGAGGAGCCCAGGCCGGGGCCCTCATACTTTGCCACTATTCACCATAACTTTTATTAGTTACTCTTAATCTATTTGGTTTGGCAGTACAGTGTTTGCCATGCTGAAAAAAAACTGGTATTTGGAATATAATAGTGCCGCCCATTATACATCAACATAAATTATGCTATGAATATATAATCAGAAAGTGAACCTTATTCTGTAAAAGGAAAATGTGGATTTGCTGACAGCCACAACACCGCTGGAATCCTTGGTTGAGTTTATTGAAACACTGTGTGAGAAATTAGATGAGGTCAAAGATGTTACAAAGAATATAAAGCCACACAGAAACACCAAAGGCAAAGAAAGAGGCGTTTTGGTGAGACTACTTTACCACATGAAGCATTTACAAACGCCCCAAGTCAGATTTTCAGAATGTAGACCTTGACAGTCACTCTAGATAAGTTGCGGACATCTCTTGAGCCATGTAAAGAAGCTTACAGGGAACTAGCAGGTGATTTTGTATTTTTAAGGTGTTTCTCAGACCCAAATAAAGAACATTTATAAACTAGAATCATTCATCTCACATCAAAATATAAGGATTTTGATTTTGTATTGATGAATTTAAAAATTTCTATGACTTCATGATCCAGCTGAGGGAGGTTTCACCAGTATCAATGATTAAGTTCATAAAAGATCAGGATTCAGATGCAACTTTGCCTAACGTCACCGGAGCCTTAATCAGTTTCTTGTCGCTGCGTGTTAAGGTGTGTGAAGCAGAACATAGCTTCTCAAAAATTAAATTAGTGAAGTATGAAGGGCGAGTTACAGTGAACCAAGACAAGCTGAACTGCCTCACCATTAAGTCTATAGAAAGTGATTTCACACACATGATTGACTTTAGGATTAATGATGTGATTTCTCAGTTTGCTACTAATAAAAGCTCGAAAGGACAAAGTTTAACTGTGAATATCTCCATAACACATTACTTACAGCTTATTCTTCAAATGTTTAATTAATTTCAAAGTCTTCATAAATAATGATTCACTATAGTACCAGTATGTCATTTACAAGAAAAATACAAATTTTAGGTCCAAATATCGTGTATGTATTACAATGAACATACAGTTCAGTATTTGAATTTATTTTATCAAGTATTTCATTCAATATTTTGGTCTTTATTTCAACCTTTAAAATTAATTTATTTATTTTTCAAGTAAAAAAAAGGAAGGGGGCTTTTTTTTTTTTACTTGGAAAATAAATAACCAAACACGGCTATATTCCTTCATTTACTGCCACACATTTACTCATTCCTCCGTATCTGTTGTGATGTGTTGTTGTTAGTAGTGTCATAACCCTGCTCCGCCTCACCCACAGTACGGGGACACGCCACTCCACACAGCTGCTCGCTACGGTCACGCTGGAGTCACCCGCATCCTCCTCTCTGCCAGAACGCATGTGGGCGAGATGAACAAGGTGAGGTCCTGGCCCCTTTTTCCTCCTTCATGCTTCCTGACCCCTCCCTCCTCCTTCCTGACGCCTCCCTCCTCCTTCCTGACGCCTCCTCCTTCCTAACCTCCTCCTTCCCGACGCCTCCTCCTCCTTCCCGACGACGCCTCCTCCTCCTTCCTCCTCCTCCTTCCTGACGCCTCCCTCCTCCTTCCCGACGCCTCCCTCCTCCTTCCCGACGCCTCCCTCCTCCTTCCTGACGCCTACGGCAATCCATCCTATTACATCCTTACGTATCCTAAACATACTCCATATCCTACAACAATATCCTAGTACACCCTAACATATCCTAATTATAATACAACAATTTATCCCATTACATCCTTACGTATCCCATTCTCAAAATCCTACGACAATCCATCCTAGTACATCCTTACATATCCTAAACGCCCCTAGGCACTAAACTAATACTCCCTGGTGTCCTCAGAATGGCGACACAGCACTACACATCGCGGCGGCCATGGGCAGGAGAAAACTAACCAAGATCCTGCTGGAGTCCGGTGCTGACCAGACCGTCAAGAATAAGGTGAGTGACGTTGATGGTGAGTGACGGTGAGAGTGAGTGATGGTGATGGTGAGTGACGGTGAGGGTGAGTAATGGTGATGGTGAGTGACGATGAGGGTGAGTGACGGTAAGAGTGAGTAACAGTAATTCTGAGTGAGGGTGAATAGAGGTTAGAGTGATTGAGAATGATAGTGAGTGACGGTGATGGTGAGTGAGAGGGAAGATTTTAATAGTGTGCGAGTACTGTATTAATCAGTATATGATCATGGGTGTAATTATAAACACTGGTATGAAAAATGAATGTGAATAATGTTTAATGTTACGAATAAATAGCGAAAATTAATTGAAGACCAAAAAATTAATACTGAAATGAATAGTGAATTGTTGTGGTTTTTATGGAAACTTGAAGATAATAATAAAAACAATCATATATAATAATAATATTGTAATAATAATAATTCTGTAATAATAATAATAATAATAATAAAAACTCCCCACAGCAAAACGAGACACCCGGAGATATCGCCAGACGGAAAGAATTCGGCCAAATTCTAGAAATACTGAAGAACCCCCCGCCAGTAGTGTCCCCAGAGGAGCGCCTACGACGAGAACAGGAACAGAAGAAGAGGGAGGCGAAGGAGGCCAAGAGTAAAGGGGCGACGGGAGGGAAGGGAGGAGGGGGGAAGGGGGATAAGAAGAGAGGGAAGAATGACAGTGGGACATCAAGTAAAGACAGCAGTACGAGAGCCAAAGAAAAGAAGAAGGTAAGATAATGTGTATCTGTCTATTACTTTAATTGCCATTTCTATTAGGTTTTATTATTTGTTATTTTCATGTTTATTTACTGTAGTTTTTCCTTATATGATTGTAATGGCAAAATGACAAAAGAGAGAATGGGTTTAGCTACCTCTAGTACACTTCAATAATCTCAAACATTTATCATGCAAAATTATCCACATATTCCACATACAATAGTCACATATCATCACAAATTTTAACTACAAAGGCATAGTCAATACTTAAGTACAAAATATTAAATGCGATAGTTACACATACGAATACCATTAAAGAAAACGATTCTGTCTTGAGGGGTAACTGTTCCATCGAAGTACTGTTAATTTTTTTCATTTTTGTTCTTATTTCTTCCAGTAACTTGTTTATCTAACCTACTTATGTTATTCTTTATTTTATGTGCAGCCTCTTTACTTGTATTTATCTAATTCATTTCGTTTTCTTGTGCATCTTATCTAATGTGTTATACTTTACCTTTCATTACCTTCTTACTCCTGTTTTTGTCATGTATTTTTTTCTATGTATTTCTATAATTTCTTAATGTGCTTTTGAATCTCCACTGTATCTCATCTAGATATATAGAATAATGTGTACATAGTTAAATAGTCAGTAAAATTATTATAAAAGTTACATTGTTTCTCATGTGGACAAAAGTTCGCTTCCTGTGATGAAACTAATTTACGGGAATGAATCGTCGAACTGACTTACCCCGACTGTTTTCTTTTTTCTTTATCATATTCGCCACTTGTCAGCTCACTAGCCGTTGGGCGGTTTATCCAGTGTTAGTACAGTAGGAGACCTGTAGTGTACTCATGTGTGTCCAGGTCGATGCTCGAACCCTTGACATATTGGTGAGAGTTTAGAGCGTTACCACTGTACCACCCAACACCTGGTTGATACTGCTTTAGTTTGGGAGAGTGAACTTTTGACCCCGACTGTATTAATAAACTGTATATTAGTAGATATGTAAACAATGACAGGCAGTAAGTTAGTTTTATCGTGTATAACTTGTAACAATATAATGGCCCATGTCCAGTACACAGTTACATAGATGAGTGTTACATACAGAATAACAGTAACTGACGTGATGATGCCTGTTCCACTGTTAACACTTACCAATACACTGTCACTAGCAGATGGACAGTGACACCCTCTACACTGTCACATGTACCAGTGGCCAACTTGACCAACTTATTGTCACATACAGTATAACACAGTGAATACACCAGTGACCAACATACTGTCACATACATCAGTGACCAACATAGTACCACATATACCACAGCAAATACAGGATAAAATTAAAAGTAACACCATCGCCTCATAGAAGAGAACACACCCCCCCCCCCTAAACTCAGTATCCATTTCCACCCCTCACAGCACAAGTCGGAGCACAAGGAGAAGCGTCGAGGGAAGCAGGTCCAATGGTCTCCTTACGGGTGTCAGTACTACCCTCCCGCCCCCGTGCCGGAACTGGCCACCCCCAACATTGACTCCCTGCCTAAGGATCCACTCAACAAGGGTGAGCAGTATTTCATCGACCTCGCCGGGAATATAAAGAAAGTGAGTCCAGGAATATTGTTTTAGTCTGTTTTTTAATACTTTTCACACTATCTTACACTATTATTATTTCCTGTTCCTTTGTCGTGTCTTTATTATTTCATCCACCTCATTTACACACATGAGAGAGGAGTAATGATGATATATAAGATAGAGTTCTGGAGTGAGTGTAATTTTTTTAAGTAAGGTTTAAACTCCTCCCTAAATATGTTACGAAGACTCTCTAGTGATTATAATGAGGAGAAACTACTACAGGTATTATCTGACCTGAGAGAGATTCTGATTTGAAGAAGATAAAATAAATCAAACTTACATGTTTTTCTCGGATATGGGAAGTGAATTTAAGTAATAACTAACAGATTAAAGAGAAGTACATTACATAATACTTCTAATTTGTCTCTTATTCTCTTCTTTCTTCATCCTTCTTTATTACTGGCTACATCCTCTTTGTCATTTATTAACATCTAACACCGTGCATGACTCCTCTCAGGGTCCCGTGGGTGTGGGGTACACCTGCTACTGCGCGCCCTTCTTCAAGAACGTCGAGGACAAGCTGGAGAAAGACAAGGTGGCGCTCATGGATCACATCGATGCCGCCCATGACAAGCTGGACGCCAAGATCACCAACCTGGAACACCGCACCAAGTCCCACATTCAACACCTTAGCGATAATGTTAAACAGAAGGTAGGCTGGATGATGTGGATGGTGGGCTGGATGATGTGGATTGAGTGGGTCGTTGGAAGTGTGGGCTTGATGACAGGGGTGGTGGGCTGGATGATCTGGATATTAGAGAAGGTGGGTCGTGGGGAAGGTGAGCTTAATGACAGAGGTGGATGATGTGGGTATTAAAGATGTTCTGATATCACCCAAGAGGTCTAAACTCAGCTACGTACATCCTGTTCAGATTTCATTTATCATTATTTTCATAGATCAGTCGGACTATTTGATGGTAATAGAACACCAGTCAGAATATTAGACTTAACCTGTGTATAGTAAGTCCAGTAATAATCCCTAAATGTTTCTGTAAGAGAATATACCGATACAAATATATCTAAAGACTTGCCAGGATTTAAAGCCAAGTAAAACTGAACCTTGTTGACCATTACAGCTGGCGGAGGAGAAGGAGGAGTGTCGGCAGCGAACGGAGAGGAACAAGACCACAAAGGAGATGCAGGCGGAGGCGCGGATGACACACTTGCAGCAGTGGGTGGAGCGGCGACTGGCAACACGAGACACTATCAACCCCCCTGCCCTCGCCCCCAGGACCTGTGTGTTCAGAGGGTCTGTAAGAAGAGCGAGGGATCCTCTTACTGGTCTCTTCCCCCTCACAAGGTAATACTTCTTTGTCACTGTTTTAATTTTTGCTGTGTTTCCATTTGAGGCACGTAGCCTGCTTCTAGTAGGTTAGAGAACCATTTTATTTAACATTGTTTTTGTCAGCTGATTGGACAAAAACAGAGATTGTTACATACTGTAGTATAAAGGAAATGAAAGCCAATATGAAAGGGAGGGTTTACGAGGAATAATATATATTGTTATTAGTGATAATATGGACACTGTAGTTATGGTTGATTGTGTGAGAAAACTGCATATATTTAAAAAAAAATTCCAGATCACGGTCGGAAGAAGCAGTGTCAGAGTACCGAGAAGATGGCGAGAGTGACCGCGAGTCTGTGTACAAGGGCTTGAGAGTACTAGACCATCCGACCTCTATGTACAACATTCCACAGAACCTTCACGACGAAGCTGACATAGTCATCTACGATTCCCCCAAACCTATTCCTTCTCTAGTGCCTGGCGCCCTTCGCTGTCCCTCGCCAACTGACCTTCCCTCCAGGAGCCTCTCTGCTGAAGGCCGAAGAATGTTTGCTCATAACTCCAGAGGGAAGCAATTCCGCAGTCACTCACTAGATGCTCGCCAGGTCTTAGACGAACACCGAAGTCCATTAGAAGGGCATATATCACCACAGATGACCCAAGAAGAAACTCCAGCCAGGAGGTCTTCCAGTAGAGACATGTTGAACGACTCGGCGTGCAGCGATATCTCAGGCGGTCGACGAGGAAGCCGAAGTAGCCGAGGAATGAGTGGATCTTCCGCTCATGGCTCCCCTATGGTGCCTCGCATGAGCCGATTCTCCCCTACCCAACCATCTCCTCTGCTTCACTGCCCAGACATTCCCTCACAACCCGATGGTGCTGCTGCTGCTACTCCCTCCTGTAGACCTTCACCCCTGAACCACACAGACCTCAACCAGGCAGTCGATAACCTAAGAGTCTCTCACGCTGAAAATGGCGCCATACCAAAGACATACGGACGTTTTGACGACTCCCATCACAATGGAAATCAAGATAATGTGAGCCAGGTGCATCAGTCACAGGGATGGAGTGGCTACAGCCGCTACGACTACCGGAACACTAACCCCTACATGCACGGAGACCTACGGGGCCGGAACCCTCTGGCTCACCCACCCCACATAGCCAGTGCCCCGGCAGAACCCAAGATCACTAAGCCGGGGTATGAGACTTATACTCATTACCCGAAGTACCCGCCACCTCCTGAAGAAGGCCAGACAGCAGAAACCTACCATGCCCACATGACGACGGCACAAGAGGACTTTGATGCAGCAACTTACCTTGACATGGACAGGTAACTTTACTGAACAGAATAATCATCAAACTTGTCACGGGATGAAAGGGTTATTAATTTTTTGTGTGTGTGTGTGTGACCAAAATATCTATTAAAAAAGGATAAACCAATTTTAATTAAATTAGGTACAGTAGATGGATTAAATGTTGCTGAAAGAACTGATTTTATTTTGGAAGAATATAGACTAGCAAAGAAAATATTTCATCACAAATATTATATAGAAGAGTAAAGATACTTATGCCAGTCTCAGGTTCATAGAATGGATTAAAGATGGCCCCCGCCCTGTTCGATGCAGGTGAACTGGTGAAATTAAACAAACTATAACCACTTATGTACTTATACAGTATACTAATCAATCAATCAATTAAACTCTCTTTCTATCTCTGAACTTTCACCATAAATGATGCAGAGCTCCCCGTCGCAGGTACAGGATCCAGCAGGCAGTGAGGCGTCTTTACGATGGCTACTTGGCGGAGGGGCACCTGGAGGCCATGAGGGGGGTGGGTAGGAACACCCTGGAGTCCTCGATGGAACACGACTCTCACAACGACTCTGGTTACTCCACCAGACTCTGTACTGGCTCGCAGGGTCCTTCACCAGCACTCTCAGGTGGGTAGCATGTAGCTAACCCACTGAAATTTTAGTTACAAGAAAATCCTACCGAATGTAACCTAACCTAAACGTAATAGGATGTTAGAGGTTAAAGAAGCAGTCTGGCGAAAAGGTTTTGTTGACATGAATTGAAATGTATATGGTATTTGGGTATTATTTCAGGGCTAGAATAATGTATTGTATAGTGGTATATTTAACGTAGTATAGCGGCAACTGAAAAAAGAATAATGTACAGTAAATAATTATTGAAAGGCAGTACATTGTGAGTAACCTTAATCAAGTCAGTATTGTATCTCACCTATGATTATCCCTTATACAGGTGGCCACGAAGTACAGTCAGACAGCGAGTTGAAGCACCACCTGGCAGCAGCACATGCAGCAGACCCCAGCAGACACCATCCCCCTTACGGTGACTCACACCAGAAGCAGGATGATCCCAGCAGACAGCAGCAGCAGGAACATCAACATCAACATCAACATCAACATCATCAGCAGCCAGGGAGGGAGATGATCTACCCCGCAGCTCCAGGTCCCCGCTACAACAACGGGCTCCCCCCAACAGCAGCCGCAGCAGCCCAGCTCGCCAACAACAATCCCAGGTTCTCCACTCCCCACCTGGGCACTGATACCGTCATCATTGGGGAGTCCTCGCTCGTCTGATGCTTCTCGCAGTCAACCACAATTTGATAAACTATTTTGTTATATGCTAATCTCGTAAGATATAAATGCTGATATGACCAATGCGATACAGTACTGTACATCCTTCATATTTATACAGCATAAACGATCCACAAACAGAACTGATTTATGAAAATTTGACATAGAAATTAAAGGGAGCGACGGAAGACCATGAATATTTTCGTATTCTAGAAGTTCCTCTCAAACAGGGCTAATAGTGAATAAACTAGTTCTAGTAAGACAAAAACTGCCATTGAGTTATTATCTCTCGAGTGTCCCCTTTTAACTATATATTGTTGTCAGGAATTATAATGATCAGTTTGAACAATACAGCTACATATTTACCAAAGGTAGAGGATTCACAGTGGGTGTTGTGTGGTGACGACAGAACACTGGAACAGAGAAGCTCCCACTGGTGTAGTAATGTGTGTGTGTAGGTGGACTACAGTGTATAGTGTATATAAGAATTCATATATCTTATACAAAACAACCTTGTAATCTAACTGAAGAATAACTGTGTATTTTGTACATTTGAAATTTTTTTTTTATTGAGAGGCTTAAATCATTATGATGTTTAAACATAAGGAATATTATGTACCTGACATAATTATTGTGACTGCCCAGATGTAAATTCTCTATAATTACATAGGATACAATATATTAATCCTGTACATGTTAACACTATCATTTGTTATTGGTACAAATATCTCCCATCTTGAATACTCAATTATGAATACCAGAAGCCCTTGTTGACACCACATCTTGAAGACTGGCTGTGTAATATTGTACTAGGGAATATTTTAGATTATAAATTGCTCTTAGAAGGTAAATTACCCAGTGATTTTTGTACATGTAGTCTTCATGGATATTATTTTTTGCGTATACATTACTAAAAGTTATAACTGGTCTTTGATGGTGAATGTGATATAATGAAATGAAAAGCACCTTTATATATGGTATGTAAGATAATGTTGATGCATATATGAGTGTACGATTGTCATAGGATATATTTCTTTGTTTTTAATGATTCTGTTGGTAAGGATGGCTGTGTGTGTGTGTATCACTGAACCTTCTTCAAGCCAAATAATCACCTTTTCCTGAAGTCTAGTCGATGTCTACTGTAGAAGCATGTTTGACCTTTCTTGTCGAAGAGTTGGTTTATATTCACAACTAAATGGAGTGGAGAACCTAAACCTAAACCTAACCATATGTTAACCCCTTCACTACGAGAATCCCACTCTTAATATTTTATTTGGCTAACCCCAGGTGATTTTATTCAGCTCAGACTGTCTTCACTAAAAGAAACAATTATTACCACATAAGACATAAAAATTATTACCGTACACACTGTATCAATTTGTCTTAAATGCTCTAATTACTAACTTAAACGGAGTTACATAGTGAGTGGTTTAACATGAAACAGACGGGCTATAGGCAGTCATAACTACTGCAGTATTGAAACATATATGAACGGTAATACCTATACGACATTTTTTTAATTAGAATATAGATTACATTCTGCCCTTTACAGTAGTTCTGCATTACTTACTAAACGAATTGCATCTAACCCACACAAAATTTCTGATTGTAATACAGTTGCCTTTAACTATTCTGTATCCACTAGTAAGAATAACTAACCGTACTAATTATTACGATCAAAATGTTATGATTAACTGGTACAAACACCCCCAGCTGCTAAGGTCTACCCATTCATTACTCAGATCATGTTAACTTCTCTTGCATCTTGCTGTGTGCTGCTCAACCCAACCACCCGTGTAAATAATGTTACCTCATGCTGAGTGGTCGAGGTTCGTTTAGGCTTTACGGTACACATTTAATCTACCAAATAAATTATTCGTATAAGCAAATCAAAAATATTAACCAATGCCGAAATATAGTCCTTTATTGTTTATATATTATAGTGAAAATATAAAGATGTACTGTGTAGTCTAAGATGTTATACTGTGTCGTTTTGATGAATTAAAAGGTGAATGTCCCAAGTGAACTGTTCCTCAGTCAGTGAGAGTCCAGTATTCAGGAGGCAGTGTAATTAAGTGGTCACAAGTTGTTAAGCAAGTGTCTGGAACCGGATTATTAAAGGTTCGTGGATAAGATTATTTAATTTTAACATTAGACAAGAACATGTGTATTAATGTTTTACACTCGTAGTTCCGTGTATTTGAGATTATTTTGTTAACAATTGCGACGTTTCCTATTGACAATCAGATATTTTCAGAAGTTTACATTCGTTTTGTGTTGGATCATTGTTTTCGCTCATAAATTCAACCATATTTAGAATACTGTACAGTTCATGATTATGGTAATGAAGATAATAATCGCGGTCGACTTTAGCTAAAATGCTGTGAAGTATTAGATCAAGCTATTTATTTAGTAATGTCTGCAAACAGCACTACCACCAGAAGGATTTGTTCCATTTCGTTCATTTTCCACATGTTCTAATCATTTTAGGAGGTATTTTAATAGAGGCAACATTTACAAGAAACTAATATAACCGATAAAATTATCCTTTCGGTCATCCACCTATTTGGAAGTTGAAGTGATGTTTTACCAATGGTTTTTATGTGTTTTAAACGATTCTGACCTTAATTTCAACCGCAAATCACTACTTTCCTGGGAACTAGGGGCTTTGGCTGGGGGGAAATCACAAAAAAAGTGAATTTTACGATAGAAATGAAGGCCAGAATCGTTCAAAACACATAAAAACCATTGGTAAAACATCACTTCAACTTCCAAATAGGTGGATGACCGAAACGATAATAATACCCTGTAAACCGGACCTAACCAACCAACCTTGCCTAACTTCCTAGCCGGGGACCTGTCATATTAGATATAAAGTACCAGGGGCTGATCCTTGGGGCTCGGACCCTCCTCTTCATCAGAAAATTACAACACTCATTAATGTATTGTACTCAGGCATTTTTTGTATAGTAAAAAGTAATTTATTTTGGCATCAGAATATCTCCTCTAATATCAAGTGCACATGGCTTCAAAATGGTCTCAAAATGCCGATGATATTGGTCAGATTTAAACAAAAAAAAACTGAGAACATTGAATTAGTGGTAATGTTAGTTAAAATCGAATTTCTCAGTAAGGACGCACTTCTTCTTAATGAGTAAATAGGTTTGTGAATTTATTGAAACATACGAAACAATTTTGACCATTGAGAGATGATAAGTGAGTGATAGAGCTATGACTCCTATGCCATCGTTGTTGGGGAAAGGCAGATTAGTGTACTGTACAATGACCCACAGACAGGAAAGGTTGAGCTGTGCCCGGCTAAAGAATATACTGTACATTTAGTTGTTTCTTCCCTGCTTAACTAACAGCAGGTTGTAAGCTAACACTAGACTCTTTACTAATCGTCCAACATTCTAACACCCACTCAGTGATAATAGGTTTATGATAAACTTCAAACTATTGTTCACCTCAATCGTATTATATGACATACTGTATATCCCAGAGGAGTTTAATGAGTTGTTTTTATACTGAAAATGAATCTTTTTTTTGGTGAATTATAATCTGCTTTGTGGTAAATAACTTGTTCTTATATCGCCGCTTGGATAATTTAGAACCTTTTTTTTCTGGAATTATGTTTTTATTTCCAATTTACCGATCTTGGAACTACCGTAACTACCTATACACCTTCAAAGCTCCGGAAATTAAAGTAAGCATTTCACTCTCACTGGACTGTGTCTGATTTTATGGAATACTAACCACCGAGAACTGCCAAACTTGAATATATTGTACTGTATATATCACTCAGTGGTCCGTTCTTAATAAAATCAGACCGGCTCAATGATTTTACTGTCTCCAGAGTGATAATGACCGTCATAAAGAACAAAAAAGTTATTCTATACATACACATCAGTAGGTTCCAGGCAAACAAGTAAAATACACATTTTAGTGAAAAAATTGTGATGCTAAACAAATTTTCAACGTGGTGATAATATAGACATTAACTTCATTGCAGTACGAATGTTGAAATTATGTATTGTATAATCGTCATGTATTCGGTAAGCATTTATCATTATTGGCTAACCCGGCCATAATGACCCAGGCGTTGACGGCCAGTAAATCAAAAGTAGAAAGAGCATTCTTGTAATCATGCATAACCAAACATACTATTTGGTTTGGTGGTTAGAACCATAAACGCTTACATTATAATTATGTTCTTCTCTGTATTGCCAACTACCAGCTTACCACAAATAATGACTTGTTTAAAGGTTCATCCTTCATTGTCAACAGATATGCTAAAATATATAAACATTCTCTTTAATACGCCATATACAGTATTCATTAAGCACTGCTCAATTGAAAACAGATTTTTATAAGAAAGAATGAGAATAGACCTATAACTAAGGTATTTTGAAACTATGATATTCGGTGATACGACTTGAATCTTTTGGTAACTTTAGTATTGTAACCAAACGTGTGTGTGTGTGTGTGTGCGCGCGTGTGTGTGTGTGTGTGTGTGTGTTCAAGGGCTTCCCTGCTATTCTCTGTATTATTACTGGTCTACATCCACACACTGTTTATTTGTAAATAGCATGTAATATCAAATAAATGCTTTACTGCTTGAGTATTTCTTTTTTATTTAAATGTAAATTCCATTGACCATGTTCGTACACTAACCAAACTTCTCCTTACCTCACCTCTCCTAACCTCACTTCACCACACCTCCTCTAACGTAGCCTCACCATCCAAACCTCACCTCCCCTAACCTCGCTTCACCTCCCGTAACCTAACTTCACTTAACCTCACCTAACTTCACTTCCCTTAACCTCACCTAACTTCACTTCCCTTAACCTAACTTCACTTCCCCTCACCTCACACCATCACTCAGACCTTTCCACAGGTGCCGCCGTTTGGGAGTGCTGAAATATAGATGAGAAGACTGAGGATAGATGCAGCTGCGCCGACAGCTTATACTCACCTGGGATTCCGTGTCTAAGTGCAAGTGGTAGGACGTGGCCGCGGTGGTGGAAGTTTCCGTGAGGTGAGGTCAGGTGACCCAACCTTCAGATAGATAAAGGAGTGACCATGGGTGGAAACCCAAAACGTGAAATTGGGGTCAGCTGAGTCAGGTATGGGTGTAAGTAGGGAGTGGCTGGGTCCAGCATGGGTTTTAGAAAATGTGAAACGATGTCAGTTGGGCCAGTTTTACTGTAAATAATAAAGACATTTCCTATTCTTGGGATTATCATGGTCGGGGGGGGGGGGGGGTTCCGGGTTACCAGAAAACCCCCCCTGGGTGCGCCCTTGACTGGCGCAAGTACAGATACATTCTGGAGTCATTATGTGCGCAGTACTTACCTGCTAACAGTGTATAACAGACGTGACCAAGCGGCTAACGAGCCGACCAGTGGCGAAGCAGATAAAATTTATTAAAATATATACAGTATATAACCATTTCCATAGTTTTAACTTGCAAAAATAATATGTATCTGGTGTCCTTAACCCTTGAGGGCGACGGTGTATCTCCTTGGTGGATAGTTTAAATTGTCGTCTTTAAATCCCGTCAAGGTCGATGGTTTAAACTAATCGTCAGTTATATCATCATCCTGAAAGGTTTAAATGCAAATAATTTACCATTTATTTCGCATGTTCTATCGCATTAGTATGTCTCCACCAATCTTTTATGTATGTTGAGCATTATAATTATGATGGTTTGTTTGTTGACGGATTTAAAAACTCGCCCGTTTACTGATATTGCGGGACAACAAGCTAGGGTATTTAATTAAAGTTCACGGGCTCTTTAATTGAATCACCGTTAAGCAATTAATCATTCTCATTTTCGTATTAAACCTGTACGTGTACAGTTTTCAGGTACAATTCACGTTTAGAACACGCGTGATTATATATAAATATATATACATATAGTAAAATAATTTCCGCCTCTGTTGATATCATTAGTAATTCGATTTTTTACCAATGATTTACAAGTCTCCATTATATATAAATGCTCACCAGATAAAATTTGAGCATGAATTGATGAGAAATCTGAGGATAAATGTTTGCATGTTTAGTTTAGTTTAACAAATTTATTGGCAGAGCTTGTAGTACAGTTTGCCTATTCTGAGTAATTCAGTCAGGTCTTGACACTGAGGGTGGTATCACTTCTCACTGTCACGCAGGACAGAGGTTCACACACAAAGAAATACATCATATTCATTAACAACTATAAATGAACTATAAATGTATATAGGTCAGGTCAGTGGCGGCTCGTGAAAAATAAAATGGAGGGACTGCAAGCCTCACACAACAGTAGGATACACAAATTTGACCTACCTCAGGTATGAGTTGTAGTTGATGTCCACTAATTCCCAGGGCATGGTAGTAGTGTTGGTGGTGATGGACCAGTATTAATTGAAAATAAAGTGATGTAATTGATGGTGCTAATTCACCATGTATTAAATACTGTTCTGTTGAATGGATAAAACTGGTGTAGGTCTTCCTCTTGCTTTGATTTCAGTCTTTTCATTAATGTCAGCTGGGAAAAGTTGATGTTTTGCAAATACTTCACTCGATTTTCCATCGTCAAAGGGTAATTAAAGAAAGCACGATTTAACCACACCGTCCACACGTTGTACGAGACTGAGCTGCTTCAAGTGCGGCGGCGGCGGCGCCAATTAATAACAGACATCAATCGTACAGCATTGACAGCAACTATGAAAGTAACTTAAATTTTGGTCTGATTTTAATGAAAATTCACTTAGCAACGTATTGAAAATAATTAAATAACATATAAAATGATATATTTGTTGGTAGTGTATTATTCAGCTGTCTCTCTAAAGGAATCATACGCCTGGCAGTGAGTGTCTGGGGGGGACTGCAGCCCTATGCACAAGCCGCCACTGGGTCAGGTTCATATGGATAATGTCACTGTTCACTGCCATGCAGGACAGAGGTTCACACACAAAGAAATACATCATATTCATTAACAGTACATATACATATATGTAAACACACACACACATACATACATATACGTATATACATACACATATACATGTACACGTACATATACATGCACACACGCACACATGCATACATATACGTCGGTCAGATTCATGTGGGTAATGCCACTGTTCACTGCCACGCAGGACAGAGGTTCGTACACAAAGATTGCATCATATTCATTGACACTATATATAGGTCAGATTCATGTGGGTAATGCCACTGTTCACTGCCACGCAGGACAGAGGTTCATACACAAAGAAGGAAATACATCACATTCATCAGCAGTATATATAGGTCAGTGGATCACATACATTGGAGTCATATTCTAATTGAAGACTAATCAGTGTGGGCTAGCAAATTTGGGATAAACACCAAGAATGTCCTCAAGCACACCTGATTCAATGAAGTAATTACATAGTTCAAGATACAATAAGTAAGGTGGCCTGAAGTCTTTGACAGTATCAATGTTTGCATGGAGACGGGTATAAACCAATTTTCTTTTAAATCGGTAATTACGTCTCTGGAGAGCTCGTCGACTCCTTGTGCTGTAGGTGGCAGCACTGATACAAGTATGCAATAGTAACGGCTGAACAAGTTAAAAATAAAACAGGTTATACGATATTAATAAGACCTAGGCGAATTAATTTTATAATTCAGAATAACATAATTAAAATTAGACAGTATTAAACCACGTAGTTGAGGTAAATTAAAGTATCAATATATTAAACTGAGGAATGTAAGACCAGTATTACCTCCAACGACATTTGTGCCTTAGAGAGTTTGTTTACCTCCTTGGTGCATTCAAACCTGTGTTGTCTGGTGGTCAAGGTGTTGCTTCTCCACTATGCCCAATAACGCCTACAACAATAATAAGATACCAGCAAGGTAACGTATATTATATGTTATTTAATGTATATAATAGTAGAATACCTGTAAGTACTAGTAGATAAGAGGAGATTGGTATTACACCTGACCAGCCAAGACTTACACCTGGTGATGGTGTTTTGGGTTATTCCTTAACTCTCTTTTACCTGTGATAAGAAAATATGAGGAAATGCTGCTAATATATGTTACTTTGGGTTTCTGATTTTAATTTGATTTATTTGATCACCTAAACAGTTGATTTAAGGGGTCTGACTAATTACCCAAATGTACCCAATTTACCCAAATGTAGTCATAATGAAGTCAAATAATGGTCCTAGATGAATAAATCAGACTGCTAATCACTTCTCGACTAGTATTTGGTGTTAAAGTCACAAAAAATTGGTAAACTTAATTTAATCTGAGTTAATAGATCAAGTGCATGTACCTAACCTAACCTAATCTAACCTAACCCAACCCAACCCAACACAAATCAGATTAAATTAAGTTTACCAATTATTTTTTGACTTTATGACACCAAATACTAGTCGAGAAGTGATTCACAGCCCGAATTACACTTGTACGACCATCATTTGACTTCATTGCGGCTACATTTGGGTAATTCCTCGCTCCGTCGGTACATGCACGCGATCTATTAACTCAGATTAAAGTAAGTTTTCTAATTTTTTGTGACTTTCTGACACCAAATACTAGTCGAGAAGTGATTGGCAGTCCGATTTATTCATCTAGGACCATTATTTGATTTCATTCCGGCTATATTTGGCTACATTTGGGTAATTAGTCGGACCGGATTTAAGAGATCTTTTATGGATTTTTTGTTCATGTTTGAGATTAGCTTATGGCCATGACATGAATAGCAGTCTACAGGCTTTGCTTTTCCTTGGTTTTATTCGTGATTTTTATTTCCACTATAATCAAAGTGTTGAAAATAAACCCTGTATGGTAATATAAATTATATAAAGCATTTCTAACATCATTTTGATACATTGTAGTGAAAGCAATCAGTGCACTTTAATGTACCGTCAACGACACTAATTTTGCTGTTATTTCTGAGGCAGTGAATTTATGTTCTGACATACCTGGTATAACACAAAGGGGTGTCACTATAGAGTGCGGTCTACCGGGACATTTACATTATAGCGTGCGGTCTACCTGGAATATCTACACTGCAGGCTGCAATTTAGTATTGTTATGTTGTAGTATTTATTGTATAGTAGAGTTTTATGATAAAAATACAAAATAGTGATAAATAATTTTTTAATGAGCATCAAATAAACAAAACATATAAAGATGTTGAATAATAGCATAATATTAATGACATAAACTTTGTATCATATTTTTTGTAAATGATAAACCTAATCTAACCCCCTTTTATAAGGTTGGTAAGGGTCCTGGTGTTCAGGTAGTCAGGTCAGGTCAGGTCCGTAGACTACGGATATTGTAGTAGACCGCACGCTATAGTAGCACCCACAAAGGTTTATGTAAGGTAGTATAGCTATACTGAATACAGTCAAATAACTTGTATGCCCTTTTACCGTCAGTTCTTTTACGCATTTAAACACTTACACGTCTTGCGAATTTGTCCTTGTAGACAGATGAATTCTTGGAGACTGTTTGCATCCTCCACAATCACAGATAACTTGTGATAGTACAGTATACCAAACACGACGTGATAAAGATGCCATTGAAAAACAATATGGCTATCTTCACCCTCATTATTCCTGCTTGAGGAAGAAGAGTAAGTATGCGAATTTACAAATCATTTATTAACCAATGCTACTTGTAAGATATTGGAAGTGAATCAAAACCCATAATATTGGTTTTGAATCCAACTACTGTACTTTATAATTATGATCCTCATCATTTTTAAATAGAATAGGTTTAAGAACCAATTGTGCAAAAAGAAAAAATACTGAAAAGTATATGGGAATTGTGCAGGTCATAGGCTTGCAACTCTAGATAGTGAATCCTAAAAAGAAAAAGAGAATCGAGCCTATACAGTATAAAAGGTAATAAAACTCCCGCTATGACAACATACGAAGATGGCTGAAATATCTGCGGAATATTTATGGTACAGTATTTAATTTCTTTGCCATTTGATCATTTTTTTTGCTGTGTTTTTACCTTGTAGTTTCTCTTATCCTTCATGTCCTGTGGTGATTTGTGATTGTAGTTAGAGAAAAAGGAAAAAATTATTGAAAATAATTTTTTTTTATAAATTTTACGAGTACAGTATCACCCAAAGAACAGCTGTGGAAAATATGAATGAATTCTATAAACATGTTCAGGTGCTAACTGTCTGCTCCATTTTTACCATTAATTTACAGTGAACTCTTCATTGATAGGGCTATGAAATGGGAAATAATTTAGAATAAATATAGAATGTTACTGAAAACTATTAATAAATGCATAGCATTCTGTAATGTTATACTGTACAATGGTTGTGTACCTGAACCATTAACTTGAGGTCATTTCTGTATAGAAGTTAAATTCAGAAATATCTATGTTAGCTGGAATCCCTCAAACCCGGAACTCTCCGATAGCCGGAATTGAAATTTTCTCGGAAAATCGTCCCCAAAATCTTAATTTTCCTGAACATTTTGGCTTTGGGAACGATTTTATGAGGGGCACATTTCCGGAAAATTTAAAGAAAATTTTCTCGATACCCGTAAAATTCTTGGAAATTCGGGGGGGGGGTCTGGGTTTGATAGACAAAAATCAGGTGCATTTTCCATAAATTTCTGAAGAAAAATTTTCCAGTACCCGTAAAATTTCAGGAGTGGGGGATATTTTTCTGGGTTCAAGAGATAATGTAATGGGCAATTTCTGGAACTTCCGAGAAAATTTTTCTGATTCCCGAAAAATTTCGGGGATGAGGGATTCTATCCCGTCTTTGAGAGAGTCGTCTCTTTACCCGGAAATCTCTCCTTCCGGAAGTGCTCTGCACCAATTGTTTTGGCTAATGGAGATACCACTACTTTCTTACCTCACGACCAAAAGTTAGACAAGGTTAACATATTTATTCATACACTTTTTATGAATACATCATGTTCTTGCATACCAAATGTTGATAATCTTCACCATGACTGACTGCATGCTAAGCAACTAAGTACAGACAGTCCTCATTGTTCATGCCCCAGTTCTTCGCCTTTTCAATAATTTATTTGAAAATTATATTACCAGTATTAATTAGATTTTGATACCTGTCTTAAAAATTCCTATCCTTTTTGAGTTAGTTTTACTAACTGTATAACAGTTATGATAATCCTGCCATCTAGCGTACGATAGCTCATGTACAGTATAACTGATTTATTTTAGTGTTAAATAATATTCTACTCAATTTAATTACAGTTCATTCTGTATTCTGTATTAAAATTATTTATAAAATACAGCTCCTCCCCGACTTAAAGCAGGGTTAGGGAACCAAATCCAGGTCGTAAGTCAAAATGGTCGTAAGTCGAAAATACTTAAATAATACATAGAAAATCTATTATGGGTGTCTCTTTTTCTTCTCAGCACCACAAAACTCTCACTTTTATGCTTGCCAGCCATTTTAAAGTGAATTACAAACGGAAATGTTGTCAGTACACAGCGTAATTTAAAAAAAAAAATTTGTACTACTGAGGCAGGTCGTAAGTGCGGGTGGTCGTAAGTCGGGGAGGAGCTGTATATCTTTAATCTAATCCATGTACTGTACATGAGAGAAGTGGGACTTCTCGGAGTATCAGAAGATGATTAAAGGAGATACTGTAGTGATAAAGCAATCAACATTTAAAACATAGTGTAATGACTTGTCTAAAGCCCACAGCCATTCTGACCAGAATCTCGTTAAAATCATACGCAACCCCAATGGGTCCTGGTCAAATTGCCGATTGTTATCTGGCCGGTAATCCCGATGACACAAGTGATGGTCTGGAAGTTGACACACGTGTAATGTTGTAAGAGGTATAATGGTACTCTACTGTACTTTCAGTAAGTGTGAAAGAATCATACACACAGTACATAGCAGAGTAGGGTGTATGTACAGTACAGTATACAGCACGTGGACAACCACTCCTTCATGGAGAGAGAAGAGTGATAGCTAGCAATACCTTCTACAGTATACTGTAACTGTAGATGGTACAGGACAAAGGCAGGCCATCCTGTAGCATCATATCACCATTTGGCGTGCTTGCGTTACCAAGCACAACAAGTTCACCCAGCAGTAAATCAGTACCTAAGTTTACCAATTGGGGGATTGCATGCTGTCGAGTGCAGTATTGGCCATGATGCCTCCTTGTATAGTGAAGGCTTAGTATGCCACATCTAACATAACATGCCAGCTGATGTACCAGTTATGAGTGCTCACAATTGTACAGGGGGCCCCCCCAAATTCGCCAGGGTTAGGTTCTCAAAATGGCCATGAATCGCCAAATCCGCATTTTTACTCGTGTACAAAGAAATGTATATTCCCTTTGTGTTTGCGCTAAGGACAATTATTTCTTTTACCTGTAGTATTGTACAGTATATGTGTGTATGTGTAGACACACACGAAACACGTAAAAATAAATAATACAGTAATTGGAAAATCCTCTCTCAACTAATGAGAAACAAATTTATAAAAAATGTGACAGTCTACCCTCAAGTCTGTGCTGTATTAATAAAGTACTGTAATAGAGAACGGACTTTAGGGTAGACTTACGTTTTTAATAAATTTGTTTCTGATTATTTGTGAGAGGATTTTCCAATTAATATTTATTTGTATGTGTTTTGTGTGTGTGTGTGTGTCTACACGCACACACGTATTTACAATGCAGGTAAAGAAAATTACTGTCTCTAGAACAAATGGCTCCCTGTCCTAGCCGCGAAAATGCCGGCAACTTTAAAACTACCCACAGACATTCTTGGGTACATCCAGGGTGTCATCCGCGAATAACCGAGAACCTCACAGTAAAAATCCGCCAACTTAGGGGGGCCCCTGTACATGGTGGTGAGTACAGTAATGATCCTCTACTGAATTATTATAGTATATTTATTGGTACTATTATAGTGTGAGGTCTACAAGATATTTAGGTAAAGTTATGTTACACACGATATCTTTGTACACCGCAAGCTATAGTAGCACCTATTTATTAATTTCGAATGATTCTGCAATGTTTTTTCATCTACTATATTAGATTGCATTGCAGTACTATATGTGTGTATACTTTCATATTTTTTCATTGCATCAAGTACAGTAGTAAAGTAGAGCCAGACCTTGTTTTATGAGGATTTATGAAAGTTCACACTTATGAAAAAAGATATCCAAAGCTATGATTTATGATCATAAATTCTGAAATTATTTTTTTCCATTAGTAATCATAAAATGTGCTAATACAGTATAATCCTCTCTTTTTTTACTGCCAGTGCAGTACTGTATCACATTTGTTTCTCTTTCAGATGGGAGGAATACACAGACATGGGTCGACAGATTCCAGGGACGAGGTTCATTGCCTTCAAGGTTCCACTTCGTGAGGTAAGTACCCAAATCAATTACTGTCTCTTTTGCTTCTGGGCCCAGTATCACATGGTAGTTTTCTTTGTCATCTGGTTTCCTTTGTTTTGATGCAAACTTTTTTAATGGGAAATGGAAAAGATTTTAATTGACAGCTTTGAATGTTGAAAGAAAGTTGATGGCTTGTTTGATTCCCATATTTTTTCTGATGTCTTTGTCTTTCAGTGTTAGTCCAGGAGGAAACTGGAGTATTTAGAGAAAACCTTTGATGTTTGGGTAACACTCTTCTTGCATCTGATTCTGGGATTGAACCTGAGATGCAATATTGAGAGACAAACACATTACTGTACTGTACTGATGTACTCACCCTGTGATATACAATAGAACTGGTATCATGGTTGGTTTAGCTTCTGTTATATATCACTCCAAAACTTAGAAGCTATTACTGCATACAGTACAGTATTAAATCTAACTCCAGGGGCTATTATATTTCAAGTACAATACAGTCTCTCCTCGACTTATGACAGGGTTCCGTCCCGACGACCAGGTCGTAAGTCGAAAAGGCGAAAATAATACATAGAAATTCTAAAATGGGTGTCTCTTTTTCTTCTCAGCACCACGAGAACTCTCAATTTTACGCTTGCTAGCCATTTTAAAGGGAATTACAAACGAAAATTTGGCAGTACACAGCACGATCACTAACGTCGGGAATCGAAAATACGTAATGTGAAAAATATTTTATACGACCATGGCCGTCGTATGTCCGGGTTGTCGTAAGTCGAGGGGAGACTGTATTGGAAAGTGTACGTTTATAAATTTCATGCAACAGAGAAGAATTTAGGTATTATTTTATTACAGTACTGCAACACATCTAAGTCTAATATAGTTGCCATTGCATTGAATACAAAATAGGAGTCCAACGGTTATTTTATTAAATATTTGAACAAGACACAAAAATCTAATACAGTAACTATAATATTGGGTATTACTGTATAAAACACTGGAATTCAGGAGAATTTATTAATTAAAACTACATCTCTACACCAAAAAACTAAAGGTATTGTGTGAAAGACTAAAAACAGTAGGTATTATTGAACCCATTTAAGGGGATTGTCTGGGAAGAAATGATCAAAGTATGACCCAGAGTTGGGACATGAGCCACACTTTCCAGTTACTGTGGTATTTCCACGCTAAGCTGGCCCATAAGCCCCACCCCTCATATACAGTATAGTTACAAATAGCTGATTGGTTCCCCTGAGCGATTTACCTCCCCTGGATGCACGTACTTATATCAACCTTTTATAATAAATAGTAAAAATTTTCTAACATCCTCTCTGAAGTGCTAATGCCTTGAAATGATTTGCACTTTGATAATCCATACATTTATCATTATTTTAGATAATAACAGATCTGTTTATCAATTGTGAACACATTTGGTTTGAATTTTCTATAAACCAATCAGATATTAGTATAGAAGAGGGGCGTGGGGTACGGCCCAGGTTGGCATGGAAAGAATATAAGTGAATGTAACCAATCAGAGAATCTTGGGGTAGTCACAGTTTGGGTACAGTACTATAACCTGTCTACCAATGGATGACTGGTGAAATATGTTCAGCTGCTCCTCACCCACCAAGTTGGTGGAGGGAAGTGCAAGTTCTACTCTAGCAGTGTCTTCTTATTGCACTTGTATTGTTCAGTAGGTAAGTATTAATTTCTTACTGTTGTGGAGATTTCTTAGTGTTGTAAGTCCACTTGAAAAAAAAAGTGTTTGTCCCCCCTGATTTAGGGAAGAACACAAGCCCTTGTGTATGACACTGACATGCTCACATAAAGAAGTATCCTGGCATGTTTAACCACATCCTTGGGACTTTTTTAATTTTTTATGTAGAATGTGGTTAGTGTTTGAGTGTAGTGTTGTACTGTACTTATCCGGTATTTAGACACTCAGCAGTTGTAATATTCAGAGGATTTTTGTCTGTTTTGACTCAGTGCCTTACATTTGGCAAGGTGACTTGGTAAAACAAAATCAATATCTGACAACTCTAAATTAGGACCAGTATGTATACTATCTTATATTTACAGGAAAAATTAATTTGAACTGCAAAAGTGAACTGATGCTCCTTGGGTTCCCAACATAACCACAAAACTTTCTCTCTATTAGTATCCAAGCTTTGAACTTGCACACTGACAGCTGAATTTTCTCCCAATATTACCCAGTGTTCTATCCTAAACCTTCCCAACTTAAGTATGTTCTCTGTTTCTTGAATTAATGTCAGCTTCAGTCACACTTTCAACAGATTGTATGATATCATCAACATAGGAGATTCTAATAATCTCCTATGTACTACGTAATGCAATCATTGAAATTGTCCTGCTGGGTCGGTCTCCAAAAGCCAGTTGTCGGGACAAAATGGTCATGTGGTTTACTCATTTTCATGTCACTTTTACATTTTGGAAATATCTCCGACAGTGGCTGCCTGTTACTGATGGAATCTTACTAATATCCCCAATATGTTATTCAGCATGTCTGGACCCTTTGCACAATATTCATTTAGCCATTTAGTTTATGACCCATATAGGAGGAGAAGGAGGAGTTGAATATGATTCTCAAATGCATGCTTACAGAGCCTAGCTTCAATACTCCTCAATACTTCATGGTGAGGTATATACTGTAATGAATTGGCCCTTTATAATCATACACTTCACTCTGTTCAAGTGTCCTGGACACATTCCTGTTAATCATATCTTTCATCGCATCTTGATATGCCTTCGTGTACTCCGTTCCAAGCATACTGAGTCTCCTTTCCATAGATTTTGTCTGAGCACTGGCAATAGACGCATTATTGGGAAGCACACTTGTTTCTTTTATCCATGGGAATTGGGCAACCCACTGTCTACTGTCTAGATCATGGTTTAATCTGCAATTAATTAGAGCTAAATCTCTCTCTCTCTTCCTTAAGACTGTAATTGTTGGTACTATTTGGTTTCTGCCACATTTACAATTCCAGCAAAAGAGTTGTCCATCTGTTTTGTCAGACCAGTCATGAGTACAATTATGATGTCATTTAAATTGGAAATGCCTGCCATATGGTGAATCCATCCTCTAATGTTATTCACATTTCTTTCACTCATATTGTTAACAATGGGTGAGAACCACATAAACAAAACTTGAACTTGTTCTCTATTAATTGTAAATTTCCTGTAGTTTTAATTACGTTACCTAAGGCAGTAAGCCACAACAGTCTGATCCAACTAACTTATGTTATCTACCCGACGGCCTCACAATGTCCACGTTTCTCACTTCCAGTAATTTCACAATCTGGCAAGTTTCAACCTATGGTATGTGTGATGTTATCTCATCTGCACTGGTACCACAAGCTCTCACCTCCCATATGTCACCATTAATATCAATCAAAGGAACACAATATTATTTACTTTGAAATTTCTGTCTTATTTCCAACTTTACTAACTGCCAAATTTACTCTGGAAAACTTCGACCTAAGTTTCCTGGCCATTCTGTGTGTGATCATAGTCATGTTTGACCTCGAGTCTCACAGCTGAGGGATGACTTGATCTTTACTGTTTACACTATTCATTATGAGCAGAACTCACATGTGACAAGAGATAAGTTTCTGCTTACCGAGGATTATGAGGCATGTTATTAACAACAAATAAATCATGTAAACTGTTCTGTTGGTCCTTACTCATATGACCTATCGGAAGACAACTGAAGCACACACCATTCATGCAAGTAACCTCAAACTTAGCTTAAGTGTCTAAATGTTTTAATCCAGTACAGTACATTCAGGAATGTTAAGAGTATCAGAGTCATGATACAAAAATCTTTTTACATTCATACTCAATCTTACGTTAGAGTATTTAAGTCTGACCCCACGATCTGGTGGCTTACTTAAGTTTCCAACCAAATTAGACAGAACCATCACAGTTTTCAAACTAAACATAACTCTTAATTCAGTGTCCATGTATTCATTACCTTTTTCTCGCTTAACAAAGTTTGTGTCAGTTCCTCAAACAGTTTCCTACTGTGTAACACCCCCTGGACCAGCATGGCCCATTCCATCCTCTGTCATTAACACTCCCTGGACCAACATGGCCTGTGTAACACTCCCTGGACCAGCATGGCCCATTCCATCCTCTGTCATTCCACTTGAGTCATCATGATGAAAGTCCTGTTTTAATCAAGTCTAACCAACATCGTTCTACAATATTTACCATATCAACAAATTTCTTTGCTTTAAACCTTCAGATATAGGTCTAAGAGCCTTAATTGCACTAATGACGGCATCCACAATTTTAGCCGGATTTCCAAATTTATCATCTAAACGTTCAAACATCAACTGTCTTCAACACCCTTCACCGCCTCTACAGCTTCTACTGTTAGGCAAGATTTCAGAGCTTATGGGTCTTCTCCAAAATTCTTTGTCACAAGCCGTTCACATATAATCTTTACAGAAAGTAGGTTAATATCTTATGTTTCCACTAATTTTGAAGGATCCTATGATTTTGCTTTGACTCTTTGATTAACATCTTCATCACGAGGCTTAACATTTCTTACATGGAATTTTGCTTATTTGTATTAACTTGGAGCGGACATCATCTTTTACTCTTTCTAATTCTGTTATATATGCATCAGCTCTCTGTAATTCACCTTCATAGTCCGACTCCTCAGGATCCAACACTGATAAATATTTTTCATGTACTGTACAGTGTATCCTCAATAGCTTCATATGCCTTACATACCTCCGTAAATTTAGCATCAAGAATTTCCGTGGGGTCATTCCTCTGTAAACACTCGTCGAACAGCCTCGCCTTCCTGGTCACCTTCAATTTTGCTGTGGTTCACGGTTTCTTGAACCCCTCCATGTCGTAGAGCGTTCTTGAAATGGTTCACCAGTCAGTAAGAAACAGCAAGCTGTAGAACCATTTATTGTAGATAGATTTTGTCCTGAAATAATGGTTTATCTTGCAGAAGCCAACACAACACATGAACCATAATTGTGACAGTTCCAAACCTTCGCAAACTAAACACTTAAATCAATTATAAACTGCTGTCATTAAGCAAACAACCCTCAATGTACAGAATAATATAATGATACTATACCGTAGTGCATTTTTTCCAGCTGAGAAGAGATGCCCCGCTTCCTTCTCAAGAGTTACAGCTGATAGGAAGTTGCAAATCTGTCAGATTTCGTCCTGAAGTAATGATCTATTTATAAACGAGTTTATTCATAATCGTTGGGATGACCGTTTCTGACGAGAAAGATATTTAGCTGAATTATATAAAGATACATACATTCATTATTTCAAATATCAACACGTAGAAAGTTTATCAGAAGTATTATACATGAATTAACTGCTAAATTCTGGTACCAAACTCACGCTTTGGGTGGGAACATCTCGGAAAAATATGCAACTCTGCATTTTAGTAACATAAAGTGAGATTGCTGAAAAAAAAAAAAAATACTGTACAAAGTATTTTTAATTAAATTTATTTTTCTTTGAAAACATTTGGTCAAAACTTGGAGGAAAATATGCAAAAGAAAAACAGGTAAACCAATAAAATTAAAGATATTTTAATGAGATCTGATAAGGGGAGCTTGTAATCACAGTTCTACATCCCAGAACATTAAAGTCCTACCGACGAAGACCGTTTTCTGTAGTCTGGAGTATGGAACGTTTTCTGTTTAGTTTTGAGGACGGACTTACATGTTTTAGATACAGTAGTTAACTAAAAATTTAGATTTAGTAAAGGAGGAGGAAATTCACTGCTCTCCACTCAGTCGATAGAACTATTTTTTCTATGATCAGTTTCTTATATTACATTTCCGTCGCAAATTGATAATAAGGAAGTTACGCCCCCGGCTATTGGGTTAGGTGAGGTTTAGTTTGGTTATATTGTATTGTGGTTACTGTACTCTGTAATGTTACCAAGAACTCAACCCAGATTATAACATTAATGATGAATGTTTCAGTGTGGTCTTGTCTACCTGTGTATTAAAGCAGTTGTCGCCATCGTATTTGACTCTCCATAATCCTGTCTATATGTCCAGAAGTTTTTTAAAGTACCACAATTAATTCGACAAAAAAGTGGCTGGGATTTAAGGTAATTTCTATATTTTGAAATAGTATCAATTACCACAAACATTGCAATTCCACTACTACGGGATGATGGCTGATCGTACTGTACTAGTGGTGGAGGTTGGGGGTACTAGGGGTGTGTGGTGGTTGAGGGTAATTAGTGAAGGTTCGAGTGGTGGTTCGTTCGTGGGTCATTACCACTCACCGGGAAACAATGTTCACCTCATTACCATTGTAGGGTGGTCGACCATACCCTATACCCTACCCTTCCACCACCCACCCACCCCCCACCCCTCACTCCATCACCCTCTTACTGTCCTATCCATCTCTCACCCACCTCCCTGTTACCCCCCCCTCTCTCCTCCCTTCTCTCCCACTCTACTCTTCCATATTCTGTTCCTGTTTTCCTCTCCTTTCTACCTTATCCACCTTCTCTCTTTCTCAACCTATTTATTACCCTCACCTTTTCTCTCTTCCCCCATTTTCCTCCTCCTTGTTCCCCTTCATCCCCCTCTCTTAAAGTATAAACAATCTTGCCTTTCCTCTCTTTTTACAACACAAATTCTCTCATACCCTGATCGTAACTCACCCATCCCTCTACATTCTCCTACTATGTCCTCCCGTCCCATCCCATCCCTCTTCACTTTCTTAATATTATTCCCTTCCATTGTCACCTCTCCCCTCTCCAACTTTCCCCCACCACTCCTCTTCTCCTCCCCTCCTCACCGTTTCTCCCCTTCCTCTCTACTTTCTCTTCGTCTCTCACCTTCCTTCTTACTCCTCTTTCCATCTTCCCGCTTCGCCTTTTCCTCCGCATTCTATGTTTTTCCTTTATTTTACTCTCCTTTCTTACCATGTCCACCTCCCCCCCTCCATCAGCCACAGGAATAAATACCATACGCTTTCTGGCATCACTTGGGAGTTTAGTCAGCTGCTTTTCTATCACTAATGGAAGGCATTGGTTGTGGACACAGTGTCTGGCCATATGGGAACGAGTGGTAGCCTTTGTTCTCGTAGTGGTTTATTGACGGTGTCTGTGTATATTGTAATGTTTCAATTGGTAGCTCGTGTTGTTGATGTTGTGTAAAAGTTTGGAAAATGGTTTTGGGATGCAAAGAGACCAAAGATTGTGTGTGTGTTTTATGCATATATTAAAGCGGTTTGTACACTGCCGGTTAGAAATTAGAGTAAATTAAAGAGAAATATCGAATCTTGGTAATTATACCAATTTATTTTCTAACTCAAAATAATTAACCCTGAAAGGTACCCGAAGATTGCAGAGTTGTCTTAGTGAGAGAGTTACAGGGGCGGATCCAGGAATATCAAAAGTAGGGGTCAAAGAAGTTGTGGATGGAGGAACGTGGCGAGTACAGCTCGCTCGCTCAACGGGGGGGGCAGATTTTTCTATTAATGCCAATATCATGGTATTTTGAAAGGATGTGCACTTGATATTAGGAGATATTCTGAGGTCAATAGTAATTACTTTTTACTATACAAAAATGCTTGACTACAATACTGCATTAAAGAAAAAGTATTGGAATTATCTAATGAAAAGGGGTGTCCGGATCCCCAGGATTCCCCTCCTGGATCCGCCCCTGGGTTAAATGGCTGTAGGAAGTACCGTAGTGCAGTCTTGTAATATATTGTAGTATGTCCTCTGTATGTAAGTTCATTTTCTGACGAGAATTCTTTATGGAAGAAAATAAGAATCAACTGTGTAGGAGAAACTACTCTATACTTTCTTCTCCGTCACTATTCAGCTTTCGAGTCGGGGGTATGTTACATCATGTCCTTGTACAGTACTTAGTGTTGGCGAGATACATTAATACAAACTTGACTTTGGTTAACGCAGAATATAATAGACCAGTCACTATTTCATCACTATGCGATGACCCTCTGTCCTGTATGGCAGTGAAAAGTGACATTACCCACATGAATCTGACCGACGTATATGTATGTATGTGTGCGTGTGTGCATGTATATGTACGTGTACATGTATATGTGTATGTATATACGTATATGTATGTATATGTGTGTGTGTGTGTTTACATATATGTATATGTACTGTCAATGAATATGATGCAACTCTTTGTGTACGAACCTCTGTCCTGCATGGCAGTGAACAGTGACATTATCCATATGAACCTGACCTATATACATTTATAGTTGTTAATGAATATGATGTATTTCTTTGTGTGTGAACCTCTGTCCTGCGTGACAGTGAGAAGTGATACCACCCTCAGTGTCAAGACCTGACTGAATTACTCAGAATAGGCAAACTGTACTACAAGCTCTGCCAATAAATTTGTTAAACTAAAAAAAAAAAAACGATGAGGTACTTTGATTTTTATCTCTCTCCTTCCGTCTGTATTTATTTTCGTCACGCCCAGCTGGTTTGTTAGGAGTATTGAAAAAAATCGCAATGTAGTGCAATGCAGTTTTGCACGTCTTTTTTATAGTTTATATAAATCCGCACCTTACCTGATAAGACTTTCAAAGTGTTTGAGTGGTATACCATTTTTTGGGTAGCTAGTAAATGTGTATTTTATAATAATGGTATTTGATGGCAGTACAAACGTTGAGAAGAGTAACTGTTCCAAAAATTTTAATGCTTAAATAGTAGATTCCAAATACACTGTACAGGTATTTTGTTTCAGTACGAACTGCAACCTCAGTTATTTATGCGTGATGAGGGATTACACATTCAGTGTTGGTTATACCACGTGTGTTCAACAGGTTATACCACGTGTGTTCAACAGGTTATACCACGTGTGTTCAACAAACATGGAAGAAAAACTGTTCTTCTTTAAGCTTCATGGAGTTATCTATTTATAAATTGCACACGTTGGAAAATTATGATTAAGTTGTCCAGGACTCCAGGAGAGTGGTGACGCCCCGCCGAGAATCTGACTGTGCTGGACTAATTAGGATGATAAATGGATGTAATACGTCCTTGAGACACATCACTGACTCGCGTCCTTTATCAGCTCAACAACCATCTAGGTAATGAAATTGTTGCCGCCGAGGGTAAGATAATGCTGAGTGTGTGCGTATATAAAGTTGGCAATCCCTCGTCTAGTGTGGACACTATCATCCTTAACCCAGTTGTGATGATAACGTCTTGTGGTATTAACTGGTTGTTATTGCCTACACGGTTGGTCATTGTTGACTAGTAGAAGGATATATTGGTTCTCTGTGTGACATCTGACCCTCATTGTTGCCTCTTTGTCGTCGCTTCGGCCCGGCCATTGTGCGACCTTCCCCTGATAGCTGCCCAGCGTCATTGTCCCACTTCTGAGAGCCGCTGATGATCGTGCGGCCGCGGTGTATAGCCGAGTGAGGATTTTCACACACCCGTACGTGATTTAGTTCACCGTAATTGGACATCTAAGTACACATATGGGTGGATGGTTTAAATATTGCAAAGGTGTTAGTCGAAATAACCTCGACGGTAATTAAAAGACTGTCGTAATTTAAGGTGTGATCCATTCTACCCAATTACACCGACAATAACGAACGTGCACGTCTATGAAAAATGTTGGCCTGGCCCTCGCTGACTCCCTCCACTACTACGACACCTCATTGTTGAACCCATTATCGTCATTCTCACCTCTTTTGTCGTGGCTTCACCTCTTTTTGTCGCCCTCTGACCTTTTCTGGCTCCCCGATGACCCAAAGCTGGTGGTGTCGACTCGTGGATATAGTGAGGCAGGTGATTGACGGTGAAGTCTTTCTCTTCTATAGCACATTTTTATTTTATGAGGTTTGAAGTTGTGGGACCTTGCATTGTACTGCTTAGTTCGGTGATTAGAAAAATGACTTGTATAGTTAAATAAACTTGTATAATTAGATAAGTAATCTTGTATATATATATAATTAGTTAGCAATGTATTAAGTGTTAAGTTTAGTGAATTATTTATTAATATTTAACTGTCTCGTCTTTGTATTTTAATACAGCTTTAGCCTTTTAACAATGTAGTAATTTATTGACATTATTGTTCTCGTATAGACGTAAGGCATTAGTGTGTCGAAAAGGAAATACCAAAGTAAAGCCGATTTCAACCATTTTTCTCTCGGCTTTCTCTCTCTCTCTTTCATCTTTTGTGCCCTCCGTGTTTATGACAGCCGAGAGGGAGTATTAAGTAGGGCCTAGCTCTTGTAAAAAGGTTCCTACGTTGATTTTTTC